CCCCCCCCGCGGCCGCCCTTCTCGCCTCCTGCCTCCTCTCCCCCTCCCCGGCCTGTCCTGTGCAGATGACCAACGACGCCCCGCCGCCGCGCGCGGCCGTGCGCCGATCTCAACCTCGAATTCGCGTCACCACCTCCGACGATCTGGAGGATTATGACCTGCCGGACGCGGCCCCGGTGCCAAACCCGCGCCCGGTCGTCCGACATGATCCGCCGGCTCCCGCAGACACCCACCGGAGGCGCAGCCCCTCGCCGGGTCCCGGCCCGGGCCAGTGGCGCGCCCGGAGTCGCTCCCCGCCCCCGGGGCCCCGGAGTCGCTCTCCTCACGCAGGCCCTCGGGGCCGGTCTCCGGTTGGCCGAGGCCCTCGCGATCGCTCGCCACATCCGGGCCTCCGTGGGCGTTCCCCGCCGCCTGGCTTCCGCCACCGCTCCCGCTCGCCGGGCTTCCGTGGGGGATCTCCGCCTCCGGTCCATCGTCGACGCTCGCGCTCCCCGCCGGGGCCCTGGCATCAGGGCCCCGAGCCCCACCGGCATCGGAGGCCCTCTCCGGACGGCCGGCCTGACCATCGACACCGGGGCCGGTCGCGCTCGCCACCCGCCCATCACCGGCCGGGGGCCGGCCCGCCGCCACGTCGCCCGGCCCCTGGCATTCTCCCCGCCGTGGGGCAAATCATTCGCGGCACGGTATGTCCCCCGGGTGCACTCTCTCCCCCTGCAGAGGGCCCTCTTGCAAAGGCGGGCGCCCGCACATACACACCCGGCATGCTGACCCTTCCTGACACGACGCTCTTCCGATCTTGGGGCAAATCATTCGCGGCACGGTATGTCCCCCGGGTGCACTCTCTCCCCCTGCAGAGGGCCCTCTTGCAAAGGCGGGCGCCCGCACATACACACCCGGCATGCTGACCCTTCCTGGGCCTAGGTCAAGTCCCTGCACCCATTCGGCGCCTTTGTCCACCTGCCGGCGCCTCACTCGATGGATGGCCTGGTGCACATTGGCCAGATCATGAGCACTGGCGCGCGTCTCGGCCACCCGGAAGAGGTGCTGGATGTGGACTCCAGCGTCATTGTCAAGGTCCTGGAAATTACGTTCCCCGAGCCGGAGGACCAGTTCCACCATTCATCCGGCCGGCGGAGGCCGCCCCAGCCGAAGATCGGAGATCGGAAGAGCACACGTCACCTGCCGGCGCCTCACTCGATGGATGGCCTGGTGCACATTGGCCAGATCATGAGCACTGGCGCGCGTCTCGGCCACCCGGAAGAGGTGCTGGATGTGGACTCCAGCGTCATTGTCAAGGTCCTGGAAATTACGTTCCCCGAGCCGGAGGACCAGTTCCACCATTCATCCGGCCGGCGGAGGCCGCCCCAGCCGAAGATCGGCCTCTCCATCAAATATGTTGACCAGCGTGCGTGGCAGTGCCGGAGCCCCGGGCAGCGGCAGAGCTTGCCTCGCCGGGCAGGCGGAGGATGCACCCTGGGCCTGGGCATTGCCTCGGCCATGGTGGCCCGTTGCACCGAGTCTAACCCTCCTTCTCTTTACTTCCAGGCACCGGTGAGGACTTGGACCCTGGCAATATGCTGTACAACGAACAGGCCCTTGGTCGGTCGGCCGGGCCGCGCGGTGGCCCGACGGATTCCCGCCGGAGCGGTGGCGCCCCTCCCGTCGATGTGCGCCAGCCATTCTCCCCTCCCTCTCTCCCTCTCTCTCTGTCTCTCCCTCTCTCCCTCTCTCTCTGTCTCTCCCTCTCTCTCTGTCTCTCTCTCTCTCTGTCTCTCCCTCTGTCTCTCTATCTCTCTCTCCCTTTCCCTCTCCCTCTGTCTCCCTCTGTCTCCCTCTGTCTCCCTCTCTCTCTCCCTCTCTCTCTCTCTCCCTCTCTCTCTCTCCCTCTCTCTCTCTCTCTCCCTTTCCCTCTCTCTCCCTCTATCTTCCTCTCTTCCTCCCTCTCCCTCTCTCTCCCTCTGTGATTAAAGCTTGCTCATCTAACCATCCTCCGTTGGTCCTTCTGACCCGGGCGCCTGCTGGCTTTGTCCCTCCACAGCTGGCGGATCCCTTCAGTAGCGTCCTCATCAGGCCCGGGTCGCTGATGCCGCCCGGGGCCACGACCCTGGACGAGGAAACCGAGCGCCAGATCCAGCTACTGGAGCGAGAGGCCCAGGAGAAGGAACAGCGCAGCCTCGAGCGCGCACGAGTGCGTGCCGCCCGTCGTCAGGAGCGCGAAAGTCGCCGCAATGAGCAGCGCGCCCTCGAGCGTGGCGAATGGACCGACCGGAACCTGGCCCTTGGGGCCATTCACTCGTCGATCGACCGGTGCCTCGAGCGCCTCGAGCGGGCCAGCGGCATCCTCAAGTGAAGGCAGCCACCAAATACACCCCCCCCCCCCCCCCCCCCCCCCCCCCCCCCCCCCCCCCCCCCCCCCCCCCCCCCCCCCCCCCCCCCACACACACACACACACACACACACATACACACACATCGGGCACACCGTTGGCCAAGCGAGGCGCGCAACACACGGCTCAAGCCTGGTCACCAATGGCCGGGAGAGGGCGGGCGGACGGGGGCGGGGCCGGGGGCGGGGGAGGGGTCTCCACTTGACTGGCGGATGATGGCCATCCAAGCCCCACGCTGTGGTCCGCTCCAGCATACCCCCCTTATGGGCCAAAGGGACAGGAAAATGGGCCAGGACGTTTTCCCCGGACGGGGGCATGTGGGACGCCTGCGCCGGTGAACTGCCACCGCATGCGGCCGCCGTTTTTTATCCACCCCATTCAAACACCCATTCCACCCTGGTCGCGCGTATACGCCTGTATATATATATATCTTTATCCATATGTGCGTGTGTGCGTGTGTGCGTGTGTCTGCGTGCGTGTACGACCAGCAACCCGGCATGCATGCGCTCATCCCCACCCCGGGGGGATATTCCCGACAATTGTGCACAGCACGCAGGCACCCCCAGACGGAGTGGACTACTACTACTACTCGACGGGCCGGGCGGCGATTGAACATCCACCCTCGGGGATGGTGGCGGCCTCTCGGCCGACGCGCTGCCTGTGGGGTTTCACACTAGTCGTGCATCCGGGCCTGGCTTCCCCCGAGAGCTGGCCCTGGCGTGGTTTTTAGCGGCCAGACCCCAAGCAAACTCCTTCCAGTTAGAGAGAGAGAGATCCCCCTCCCCCTCCTCCCTGCTGCCGTGCACACCCACCCACACATATCCCCGCCCTATCCTCCCACTTGCTCGGCCGCCACTCCCTCCCCCAGCAGCACGCCTTCGGTGCGATCTCCTCCCCCC